GGTCCATACCATTTCTGTCCTTTATTGAGCCCATCTTTGCATGAAATGTTCCCTTGGTATCTCTAATTTTCTTGAAGAGATCTCTAGTCTTTCCCATTCTATTGTTTTCCTCTTTTTCTTTGCACTGATCACTGAGGAAAGATTTCTTATCTCTCCTTGCTATTCTTTGGAACTCTGCATTCAGATGGGTAAATCTTTCCTTTTCTCCTTTGCCTTTCCCTCCTCTTCTTTTCTCAGCTTTTTGTAGGGCCTCCTCAGACAACCATTTTGCCTTTTTGCATTTCTTTTTCTTGAGGATGGTCTTGATAATTATGTTCTGTGCAATGTCATAAACCTCCATCCATAGTTCTTCAGATCTAATCCCTTGAATCTGTTTGTCACTTCCACTGTATAATTGTTAAGGGATGATTTAGTTCACACCTAAATGGTCTAGTGGTTTTCCCTAATTTCTTCAATTTAAGTCTGAATTTGGCAGTAAGGAGTTCGTGATCTAAGCCACAGTCAGCTCCTAGTCTTGTTTTTGCTGACTGTATAGAGCTTCTCTATCTTTGCCTGCAAAGAATATAATCAAACTTATTTCAGTATTTACCATCTGGTGATGTCCATGTGTAGAATCTTCATGTGTGTTATTGGAATAAGGTGTTTGCTGTGGCCAGTGCAATATAGAATGGTATCATTGATGACTTTGTATCAAAGCCCAAATTTCAAATAGGCACAGATGCCCTTTTCACTCATCATTGCATTATTGTGTGTTTTAGCAACCAGCAAAAATTCCTGTTTTGTTTATTTCACGTTTTACCATATATAATACTCTACTCTGTAATCCAAGAGTACCTTTCCTCTTTTTTGTCCTCATCAATTGCCTGTTTCCTTATTCGATTGAATAATTGATTTCTGACTGGACAGAAATTAAGTAATTTATGTTTGGGCTTCTCAGAAATGAATTGAAATGTATTTTATTTAACTTTTTAACTCTTAAAATCTAAAAATAATTGGGACAAAATGTCTTAACAAACATTTGTTAAATGAACTTCTTTATATTTGCCTTGACAAGATGGCATTTCCTATCAAGTTTCCTAATAGACTCACCGAAATTTATTGCCAGTCATGATAATAAGACTGAATTACCATAGTCAATGTTATTAATCTGTCTGTGGCTCAATCTCTTTGCTGTAATATTGGGATAAAAGTACTGTTTAATTATAGAATTAGTATGAGGATTATAAAATATATATTTGCATATGTATATTAATACTTATATGTATTGATATAACTATATATATGTATTACATGTATTATATTATATGCTTGGGTCAGCATTCTGCAGATATCACTCATCATAATCATCATTGGCTTGTCCTAAAATATGACACCCTTAATTCTTTGAAAGATAAACTGTTATAAGATAGAGAGACATATCTACAAGACATGTGGCATGGATAAAGCCAAATTCAGAAACTCAGAATGGAGAAGGCAAAGATCAGAAATAATATTAACATTTTAACTGCTTGAGTAGAAACTAAAATAATATTGTAGGGTTATAGGAAGAACCTGAATTTGAGTCATGGGATAACAAAATGTCAAAGGAGAAAGGGAAATTACAAGGCTGATGGGTGTTTCTCTTTTGAAAAATGACACAGAATGCAGCAGGATAGGAATGAGAAAACCATTATAATCACCTTCCCCCCAAAAAATATACATCAGCTTAAGCAATATCAAAACCTGTTTTACCCAAAACACCCACCTTTTAAACAGACTAATCAAGTCTTAGTATAATTCAGTTGAAGGGAAACAATATAGCACAATATAATTTTCCTTTAAGAATAACATATTTTGCTTTGTTTCTTACAAATTTAAACTGATACCACATTTTATACATTTACATTTTTATAAGTGAACTTTTATTATTGTTGAAGTTAGGCTTTACATATTATATTTACTACATATTCTGAGATTCCCATTTCAGAGTTTTCCAATCAATTCTATTATTAAAAGAGAATAACACAACTATACGTTTTAAGTACTTACACGATACCAGTAACCACTTCAAACCTGTTTTAATCCCTTTAACTCTCCTTATAGACCAATGGAATACTAATGAGAGGTGAGGACAAAAAATAACTTGGTCCTAGAGCTCATGTTGCTGATGAGTGTGCTACTGTAGTAAAAAAATAAAGTGGAAACTTTATGATGAACACAGAGACACCAACAGTATATTATTGTGGAATAACTTCTTAAAGAACTCAAATAATAGTTTATTTTATTTCTGGCTATCCCTCTTAAATGTTTTGACAACACTAAATATATTTTATATAAACAATTAAATTGTCTATGACCAACAGGCCTATGTGGGTACTTTGCAGTGAAAGCTGACCCCTGGACCTCTCATTCAGCCACTTCTATCCCAAGGTAGCACATGAGCACATTCACACATACTTCCCCTTGAAAAGAACATGGTGGACAATGGCTCCAATGCCTATGGGTGGACCAGAACTTAGATACATAAGTTAAGCCAAGCTTACTTTTACCATCAGGAGGGCAAAAAGAGTTGTGTTGTATTTCAGTGTATTATTCCAAGGAGGATAACATACCTGTACAGTAGTACCAGTTTGCAGTCAGGACACACAGCTGTGATAATGACCCCTTTCTTCCAATTCTTCACTCAGTTTCTTGATCAATGCTGATGTATCACAAGGAAGAACTGTTTCTGACTGCTTACTTTTCTCCTGAGATTAAGTGAGAGAAATAGTAAATATTAAATCAATTTCTTTGTTTTACTTAGGGAGAAACCTCAATAAGTCAAAATGAAACTTTGCCTCTCTGAGGTATGTTAGATCAATGCAAATTAAAATTTAGGCATAAGCATATAGATAGATTTTTCGGATCAAAGAAGACATAATTATTATATTCTATAATATAATAGAATTTATATTATATTCTGCCAACACAGAAGTTATAAGAGACATGGGTTCGATCCCTGGTTCGGGAATATCCCCTGGAGAAGGACATGGCAACCCTCTCCAGTATTCTTGCCTCGAGAACCCCATGGACAGAGGATGCTGGTGGGCTACAGTCCATGGGGTTGTAAAGAGTTGGACATGACTGAAGAGACTTTGCACACACATGTGCCTAACAAAATGACCAAATTCAATCTGACAATTATTTAACCCTTTTCATTTTGAATATCAAGTTTAAATAATGGCAGACAAGGTTTTAAGATATTTCCATCAAAAGTGTTTAAATCTTAAAGTATATCACTTAAAATATTCCCTTTATAGTTGGAACAGTATCCGTTCAATATTTTGATAGTTTAAAATTGTCTGTTCCTTCTCTATGTTTCTTGTTCAAATTTGTCTTCCTAAATATGTTGAAATCAAAGGAATACTTTTCTACAGAGGAAATATGTAAAGAGATTAATCACTATGTATCAAGAACACCAGTGGTATACAAATCATGCCCCCTAAAGTTTAATATTGGTATCTAATAAATATATTTTTCTGTAAAAGGTCGAGTAACATATGAAAAACTAGAAATCCATAAGAAAATCACACAAATATGAATGATACATAAATAACAAAAAGAGATTGTGAATGAGAAATAGACTTCTACACCCCTAAGGTCTGAAAAATATATTATCTGTGTAGCTGTTTAAATATATATTTTTACTGATTTGTGAAATTGTTACCTTATAAATCTGTCATTTTTCCCTCAATAACTATAGAGAGAGTTCTATAGCTTATGAGGAATAACTTAGAGCTAAATGAGGTAACTATAGGCACCCCATAATTGTACCTCTGTTGAACTCCAAGAAACAATTTGCACAGTGAGATTAATCTTTGAAGAATTGGCAATCACGATATACATATTAAAATGACAGGTCTTTTTTTGCTTGTTTTTATCAATTGTTGAACAGCTGTGTTCTTACACAACTCAAACTGCTATAAAATAATTTCAGAAAGCTGGGCAAATGAAGGTAGTCCAGGTGACAAAATCATGAATCAAATATTTCTAAATTTGTTTTTCATAAAACAAAAAGCTCTATTGTTATATTCTAACAATCTTATTCTACCCTACATAGAAAGTGCAGAAAGGAAATCTTCATGTTTTGAATCATGCCATGCCTTTTGATTAAGAAAGACATTTCAAATGTCTATTACAAGTTTAACTGACTAATCAAGAAAAATATCAATATAATTTGGTAGTAAAACCATTAGGAAAAAGCATCACCTGCTATGAACTTTTATAGCAGTTTTAACTAAAGTTAATTTAGATACATACCAAAGCCTTTATCTGTCAAAGTATAACAAAAAGAAGTATATACATCCTAAGTATAACAAAAAGAAGACATAAAATGCAAAGATCTCATATCAAGCAGCGTGTACTAATCAGATAAGTGTTGACATGGAACAATCAGTGATGAAGACAGCTTTGAAAATTTCAGGGCAATTCAGGAAGATATGACAATCAACAGAATAATTTAGGGCCTCACATAATTTCATGGAAGTAGTGTAGGAAGACCAAACGGAATGTAGGAAGAGCAAATAACGCCATGATAGGAGGCAAAAGCAGGAAGACCAGGCCCTCACCCTGGCAACTAAGGCGACTATCAGGTCACCAAGACACAACCAGTCAGAGACTATCAGGCCACCCAGATACAGCCAATCAGAACTTGTTTACGGAAAGATCCCGCGCGCGCGAATGTCTGACCAATGAAAAGACCCCCGCGAACATGTAACCAATCCGCTTCGCTAAATGACCCCTGCTTATGTTTGAAATTGGATGTTCTATAAATATGGGTAGAAAACCGGGCTCGGGGCTCTCAGCCTGTGCGCCACTGCGTTGGACACAGCGGGGGCCCTAGCTCGAGCTAGCAATAAACTCCCTTCTTGCGTTTTGCATTGTCTCTTGGTAGCTTTCTCTCTTCCCGCTCGGGGATTCGGACATCGGGCATAACAGTAGAAATTGTGTGACCATTTTATTTGATGGTGCCAATATATTGCATGGCACCAATATATTATAGTACAGTTTCTACAAAAAAAAATTTGTTTTGTCATAATGCATTCACTGATCCTTTTTAATATAAATATTTAAGTAAGTGTATTTCATTACAATTATCCAAATTGTGGATTATCGAGTCACTGGATAATTATCATAAAGCCATTTCACTGGTCATTGGTACTTCCTAAAATACTTGAGACTAGTATATTCATATAATCATATTTATAATGAGTAAAAAGCTCTACCCTCAAAACATAAAATTTTCTTGATAAATTAAGGATAAATTATATTTTGGCATGTTAAATTACATTTTATTTTTTAAACGTACATCTGTACTGATAAAGTAAAATTTAGCCATGTAAGAAAATATTTCAATAAAAAGCTGTATACATTTTAAACTGCATGCATTTGGGGTTTTTTTGAGTTTACTTCTTATTTTTGGCAGCTAAATACAAGTTCCCTGGTGCAGAGAGTGTATTCAAGGTTTTCTCGATTTTTCTTTCTTTTTTTTTTTTTAATAAAAAGTGTTATTTTGGGGATATGTGCATCAGTGGATTGTATAAAACAGTATCTCATCCCTCTTTTGATTCTTCAAATTAAAGAAAGTTATTAAGGTAATTCTTTCATTTAAACACTTTAAAATCAGCAACATACAAAGGTGGTGATTTAATTCAGACTAGTAAATTACTTTGTTGACACAGTTACAATTCAGAATTGCTTAGGATAACAAAATAAGAAGACCACAGAAAGTGGTTATTAAAAAATAACAATTTTCAATTTCCAGTCTAACATATAAAGAATTTAGAAGGCATTACTCCTGTTATCACAAGAAAAAGTTGAACATAAAACAACTGAACATCAACAAACTGAAAATCAACTCTTCTTAGATCAGAGAATTGAAGTAACAGGGCAAATCACCTCCCTGAAAACTTGAGAGCAAGGAGGATACCAAGAACCACATCTTTCCAGAATCAAATATCTCAGAAGCAGAAACCCACAACAGGAGCCAATATAGGAATATTTAACTATAGGGTTTTTACTATCAACAGTGAATTTCCAGAGAATGTGTGTGAACGAGCTTGAGTGTTACTCAGAGGACCAGTTTTCATAGGGTTTTGCAAGTTTTACTTTTATGAACACAATCAGTTTTTCAGGATGAAGATTTAAGAAAAATTCCTTAGCCAACCTAAAGGAGATATACAATTCCAGCCGCCTCTAGCCTTTCTGCCTCATGATAGGGTGCAGAAGGGGTCAGGAAGCGAGCTCAGAAGCACCTATTAAGGCTGTCAGTCTAGGGGCGCAAAATCACTAAAAGAGAGACAGCCACAGGATTATAGAATACTTCTCTTCCCACATCTTACCATCACCTCAATCAGACTCCTGTAAAATAACAGTGAATTACACCTAAAAAAACTGCAAGTGTCCGACTCTGTTTTAAAAAGAGTCTCTAGGGAAGTACAAGACACCAGGTAAGAGGAAAACAAGGACGCTAGTGGAAATTTTAGCTCCTAACACTACCATTGCAGAAAACTAGTGAACACAGCCTAACTCCTAGCCAGGAAAAAAAAAAAAAACATATAATCTCACACTAAAGGTCTCTTTACAACAGTTCCTTTCTGTCTGGAAGCATTTAACAAGAGGCTTCCTGTGTGCTGTTTTGGATCTGTCAGGAACCCTCTGGCCCTTATTAATTCCTGAATATTCAGGAATTGAGGAGAGGCACGCCTTTCCTGGGGCTGAGGAATCCAGGCATTTCTCTTTACGGTGATAAGTGCCCTCTTCCTTTTTACAAGCCATAGGGTAAAAGGTGATTGTTTGCAACTCTGTCTTTGATAGGGATCCAGTTATGTTTTGTAAGTCTGGAATTTTAATCTTTATCTTTGCTGAGAATAACCACCTTGTAAGACAGTATATATGCACACACCATGTTGATTAAAACATCTTTGCTCAATCAGAGCTTGGGTCCCCGCGTCTTTCTTTTTTCTTTCTGTCTTTCTCTCTCTCTATCTCTCTCTCTATTTCTGCTAATTCCTTGGAGTGCGGAGGCCCGCTGAGCTCACTTTCTTGCCCGGGCTTCTAAGCCCCTCTCCAGAAGGCACACCGCCTTCACCCACTCAGAGGGCGCCTGGTGCCTCCGTGCAGCAGCGCGAGCCCCAAGAACAGGGCTCTATTGGCTTTCCGCGTAAACCAGGGGATATCAGCCTCTTTCTCTCTCTTACTTTCTTATTGTCAACTCCGGACTACCAGGTTCCGGTCCATTAAAGGACCAACACCTTTCACAAAATAATCATATGAAACTTTCAACAAAAAAGTTACAAGTCAGTCTAAAAGGAAAACAAAAAGAGTTTATTATGTTTTGTAAGTCTGGAATTTTAATCTTTATCTTTGCTGAGAATAACCACCTTGTAAGACAGTATATATGCACACACCATGTTGATTAAAACATCTTTGCTCAATCAGAGCTTGGGTCCCCGCGTCTTTCTTTTTTCTTTCTGTCTTTCTCTCTCTCTATCTCTCTCTCTATTTCTGCTAATTCCTTGGAGTGCGGAGGCCCGCTGAGCTCACTTTCTTGCCCGGGCTTCTAAGCCCCTCTCCAGAAGGCACACCGCCTTCACCCACTCAGAGGGCGCCTGGTGCCTCCGTGCAGCAGCGCGAGCCCCAAGAACAGGGCTCTATTGGCTTTCCGCGTAAACCAGGGGATATCAGCCTCTTTCTCTCTCTTACTTTCTTATTGTCAACTCCGGACTACCAGGTTCCGGTCCATTAAAGGACCAACACCTTTCACAAAATAATCATATGAAACTTTCAACAAAAAAGTTACAAGTCAGTCTAAAAGGAAAATAAAAAGAGTTTGAAGAAACCAAGCAAGTAATAAGACTCAGATATGGAAGAAATTTTGAAATTATCAGACTGGAAGACTTAAAATTACTATGGTTAATACCGTAAGTGATCTAAAAGGAAAAGTGGACAACATGCTAAATCAGATGCCTAATGTTATCAGAGAGGAAAACTCAAAGAATGAACCAAAAAGTTATAAAAATTAAAAAGATGAAGGGTGGTCAAGATGACAGAGTAGAAAGATCCTGTGTTTACCTCCTTCCATGGGCATACAAAATTTACAATTATTTATAGAGAAACTATTTATGAGAAATACCGGAAGACTAGAAGAAAATATCTGAAACTAAAGATAAAAAGAGGAAACACAATGAGTTGTGTAGGAAGAGCAGACATATGCTATAGTGAAGACCCATACCTCTGGTGAAAGTGAGTAAGAGTGAAAGTCACTCAGTATGGACTATACAGTCCATGGAATTCTCCAGGCCAGAATAGTGGAGTGGGTAGCCTTTCCCATCTCCAGGGAATCTTCCCAACCTAGGGATGGAACCCAGGTCTCCCGCATTGTAGGCGAATTCTTTACCAGCTGAACCACAAGGGAAGCCCATTCTCCTGTGGATCTTCCTGACCCAGGAACCAAAGCGGAGTCTCCTGCATTGCAGGTAGATTCTTTATGGGAGGATAATTACAATTGCAAAGATACTCCTCAAGGAGTAAGGGGTCCAAGGCCCACATTGGGCTCTCTAGCTTGAAGATCCAACACTGGAAAGATGAGCCTCCATAAAGTTTGTCTTTGAGGTCTAGAGAGATTTACTTTTGGATGAGCCACTGTGCTTTAGGGAATAGAGACTCCATCTTAAAACCTCACACTCTCTAGAATGCAGGGCAGAAGCAGTAATTTGAAAGGAGCCTGGGTCAGACCACCTGCTGATTTTAGACAGCCTCCTAAAGAGACAAGAGGCAAATGAAGCTAAACTGAGGGGTATAGACACTGATGGCAGACGTTTCTGGGAGCTCATTCTACCACATGGACACTGATGCTGGTAAGCACCATTTTAGAATCCTCCCTCTAGCTTTAATAAGGATCAACCTGGGGAAGGAAGTGGCAACCCACTCCAGTACTCTTGCCTGGAAAATTCCATGGATGGAGGAGCCTGGTAGGCTACAGTCCATGGGGTCGCAAAGAGTCAGACACGACTGAGCGACTTCACTTTATTTTCTTTCTTTCACCTCCACTCACTCTCTTGCCATTAGTACTGGGATGCCTCAGACAAAGCAGTTAGCCTGAAAGGGACACAGACGCACCTACCAGCAGGCTAGCTGTCTTAAGACACTGGAGACCATAACTTCCCTGGAACTCAGTACTGTGCACCAGAGGGCTCAAAATATTGCCCTGGACACCAGTGTATCATCACTTGCCCCAGAACCACTGAGGCCCTTCAGGAAGATGTCAGGATTTGGTTCTGTCTATCAGCAGAAAATCATTAGCTTCAGGACCTGCCAGGGCCCTGCAGAGAGAAAACCTGGGACTCAGTCCTACACATCAGTAGGTAGTTATTAGACCAGGACCAGTTTCACAAACCAGTAGGCAGGCATCAGCTGCAGGATCCCTTGGTCTTTCTCCATCCACCAGAGGATGAACACCTGCCCAGGACAACTATAGCCTTGCAACCTGCCTTGTCAGGAACCAACAGTAGCTTGGTACTGAGCCCTGAAGACCAGAATGCCAACACAAGCTCTTGAACACCTTGGGACTCTCAGTCAGCTTCCCCAAGATCCAGCCTCACCCACGAGTTGGGCAACATT